TCTGGCTTTTTTCTTTTTGCTTATGTGGTGCTGAGGAATTGAACCCAGGGCCTCATGCATGCAAGGCAAGCGCTCTACCACTGAGCCACCTTCCCAGCCTCTCTAGACCATTCTTTCTATCCTCTGGTATGCTTAGGAAATTTCATTGAGTGGGAAAAGTTTTTTTTTTTTTCAGGAATAGATTGAACATATCCAAATGAACCAGAGAGGTTGATAGCTTTTTATTTTTTATCTCTTCAAATATACAGACAATCATAGTTCAACTTGTCTATAACAAAAATCTAAAGGTGGAATTCATGGACTGTAGTATTGCTTCTTAGTTCTAATATGTTTTTGTTTTAGTAGAGGAGAGTAGAGGCATTGGGCCAAACACTGTACTGTATGATCTGTTACCTGGCTAGGAAATGGAATGCTTTCTGGCACATCTGAAGTATAACAATGTCCAAAATGTTCACATGCCTTGACACATGATCTTCAGGTAGTCTCAATTACCTTTCTTGTGCTTTCCCCCTTTTCAAATGATATTCGCTATTTGTATATAATAAATGATATTCGCTATTTGTATATAATAATTTAATATTTCAACAAGAATGTTTTAGTCCCCCACCCCCACATTCTACATATTGGGGAACAATGTCTTCACTACTGCTAGGATTTTGTGGGGAGTAGTTATGAATTCCTCGTCACCTCTGGCTTTAATGTTCTTTTTACTGCTAACTTTATGGCTCTTGATAATGCTGTTCCTTTCCTGTACGCAGCATCAAGACAGCTCATGACATCATTCTCTTCCTGTATTTCCCTAGAGCACTGTGGACTCAAGATGTCTGGGTAACAAATTACCTCCAAACTTAGGAGCTTAAAGCAACAATACATCTTTATAGTTTCATGCCATTTCTGTGCATCAGGAATTTAGGAGTACCTTAGCTGGGTGGACCTGGCTTACTGTCTTTCAATAAGGCCTGATGGGGGCGGGAAGTTTCTCTTTCAAGACATTGTACTCAGGTGAGGCCGCTGGCTGGCAGGAGGCCTTAGCTTCAATCCATGGATTTTTTTTTTTTTCTCATGTAAAAAAAAAAATCTAGCTTTGCCTTGGTTTTCAGCTGTCTAGATATGCCCCGAGAACTTGACCTTTTCTTTCTTTCTTTCTTTTTTTTCTGTCTTGAAAGGATCTTTAAGACTAAATAGGATAACATGTGAAGGCTTTGAAATCCTTAGGAGAAGTCTCCATGAAAATGTGAATTTCTGTTTCACAAGTGTGCATCAAGTGCTTAGCCTAGAGAGTTTAATTGATTAGACATGAAAGGAAGAAGAAAGATATCTTTTGTAAAGGCAAGATTTCTATTTTAGAATTTTAATTCCTAGGTTTAATTTTCTGGAAAACCTGTAGTATCTCTAATAATTCTTTTTGTAGTACTGGGGATCAAAAATTGAGAAACTTTCAATAATAGAAAAAGAAGGGGCCCTATTCAGCTAAACAAATAAAAAGAACTAAAGCTCTTAAAATGTGAGTAAGTTGAGCAGCTGAAATATTTTAATGAGACTGTATAGTTTAAAGAATACAGTGCATCTTAACCTTAACAATAATGGATATTCAGTAAAGATTGCTTATTTTGAAGTGCTTTGTTTCTTATTTTTTATTTTATTTTATTTTTTGTCAGGCTTGGGGCTTGAACTCAGGGCCTGAACGCTCTTTCTGAGATTTTTTGCTTTTGTTTGTTTGTTTGAGCCACAGCACCACTGTCAGTTTTCTGGTGGTTAATTGGAGATGAGTATCTCACGGAATCCCCTGTCTGGGCTGGCTTTGAACTGTGATTCTCAAATCTCAGCCTCCTGAGTAGCTAGGATTATGAGCATGAGCCATCAATACCTGGCTGCTTTTTTTTTTAATGCACTTATTTATATTTAATGCCTTTTTAAATTCTTAACGTTTGAAACACAAACATTTTGCTTATGAGTTTTGTAGTTGTTGCAGATACTAAGTTATTTAAGAATTTTTTTAAAGATGTATTTTAATTGAAAATAAATTATATACTGCTTTTTCTTGGTGGTGCTGGATTTTGAACTCAGGACCTCTCATACTTTGCTAGGCACTCTACCACTTGAGCCATTCCACCATACTTTTTGCATTTAGCTTATTTTTCCGATAACAGTGGTACACACTATTGAAAGTAACTGATGCTCAGTATTTCATGATGATAGTAAGTTTTTATCACATTTGTCTTTGTTTGTTTGGACACAGTGGACAGCCTTGGAAACCTGTATTCAATTCCAAGCACAAAAATATAACAAAAACCCTCAAATTTATTTCTCACATTTCTGGGGACTGTGATGTCCAAGATCAAGATGCCATTAGATTTAGTCTCCTTGGAATCTGGCTCATTGAATGTGCCTTTAATATGGCAAAGGAGGTAAGGGGTCTCTGACCTACTCTTATGTAGGGACCCTGAATCTCATTCATCAAGGCTTTGCCTTTATGCCCTCAGTATCCAAAGACCTTACCTCCTAATGCCATTGTACTGATGATTGGATTTTGGCATAAGAATTTTGAGGGACACAAACACTTAGACCACAGCCACACTTAAGTTCTTTGGCCAGGCTGGGTACTGGTGGCTCACACCTGTAATCCTGGCTACTCAGGAGACTGAGATCTGAAGATCACAGTTCAAAGCTGTTGGAGGCAGGAAAGTCCCACGAGACTCTCATCTCCAATTAACCACTAAAGAGCTGAAAGTGGAGCTGTGGCTCAAGTTGGTAGGACACTAACCTTGAGCAAAAAATCTCAGGGACAGCATCCAGGCCCTGAGTTCAGGCCTCAAGACAGTACAAAAAGCAAACAGAAAACAAAAAACAAAAAATTATGAGCACTGATGGATCATGCTTATATTCTTAGCTACTTAAGAGGCTAAGATCTGTAGATTTCCATTCAAAGCTTGCTCAGACAGACAGGAAAATCTGTAAGACTCATCTCCAACTAATCAGCAGAAATGGAGCCATGGCTCAAGTGGTAAGCACTAGCCTTAAAACAGAAAAAGGGCAAGTGAAGTCCTGAGTTCAAGGCCCAGGATGGGCACCAATTTTTTAAAATTAAAAATAAAAAAAGTTCTCTGAGTGAATGTGTAACATCTATTCATATTCTGGACATGTTACCATGTCTGCAGTCATTTGGCCACATGGTTAATTAACAGAGGAACTTGGACAGCATATTGCAAATGTGACTTCAAGGATAGCTGAAGAAACAATGAACTTCATAAACTATGGTGTGCCTTTTTCTAGGGAGCTTCAGCTGAATTCAGCTGAGAAAAATGAACTGGGTTACTCATGTCTCAAGGGTACAAAGAAATAGAGCAGCCATCTTCTTACCTACCTTTTCTGTGTACAAAGTCAAGGAGATTATGCTATTTATAGTTCGATGTAAAGGACCTTATTTACAAAATATATTTACATGACAGTTGGCTATGCTTTGTTTTTTTTCTGCAGGACTTAATCACGGGAATTGTCAACTCTGCCAATTTATCTGCAGCATTCTCTTCCACTATGAGTAGATCAGTTGTTTTGCACATTTGTCTGGCTTTCTGTAGCCTTGTAGTCCTCAATTTGGTCTCACCATGTCTGGCCTTTCCCAAAATGGGAAAGAGAGAGAGAGCACACACTCATGCAGAAGAAGGACAGACTGTGAAGATGAATACAGATGACCAAGAAAATACTTCCATTCCTCCAGAGCATTCGCCCCAACTGATGTCCTCCCCAAATCCAATGACAGCATCAGCTGAGCCACCATTGTTCCTCCTCAGTGATACAGAAATCAATCCTCCAGGAGCCGGTCGCCTCCAGCCTCTCAGCCCTGCCCGTGATCATGCGTTTGGTTCCAGCCAGCCAGACTGGATACCTCCTGAAAGCAGACTTTCCAAGACCATGTTAACCACTGCCATCACCACACCTGCTTCTCTGAGGATGGAAGAGAAGGAGGAACCCACTAGCAGTGCCAGCACTCAGGCCATTGCAGAAGGGACCACAGAAGCAACACAAGGCTTTCGGAAGTACATGGACAATCCAGTGTTTGCAACGAAAAGTCAGGAAGGAGTTAGCTGGGGGCATTCAACTTCACCCTACATAAACACTAAAGAAATGCTAGCCACCAATCCCAGGATGGAGACTCTGGAAGCTGACCCAGACCAGAGGGCAACTTCTTTTCCTAGCACTCAGTCCATAGTAGACACTGAGCCTGTTAGTGTCCTCCTTGATAGGGAGAAGGCCACACAGATGACAGCTGATAATACCCAGGCTACTGCCACCAAGAACTTACTGGCAACTGCTGAGAGCACCCTGGGTGTTGATCCAGAAACTGACAGGCTGCTGGGAGCTCCTGGAGCTACAGTGAGTGTCAGCACAGCTGTTTTAGCTGCTTCTGTCCCAAGTGATGAGTGGGATGAAACCAAAGTAGAGAATGTAAACCAGATACGGGCCCCACAGCTTGGAGAAAATACAGGGACTCAGATGAGAATAGAGCCGTCACAGCTGGAAGGAGTGAGCCATGATAGTATGGAGGGGGGACAACCTTCCACAGAGGTTTCCCAGGAGGCGCCCGGTCTGCCTAAAGGGGAAACACTTGTGGGGGCAGCTCTGTCAACAGCGCCGGGGGCTGAGCGATCACCTGCTGTCACCGATCAAAGTTCCTTTACTCCCACAAATCTGATGGAAGATACCGAAGTTTCTGTGGTGAGCCTGTTCCAGAGCACAGGAAGCTTCACGGACTCCCCCAAAGAAAATGGTGCTGTGCTTTTTTCAGCAAGTACTGTTTCCATCTCTGAGTATGTGTCTGAGGCATATCAACCATTGGGAAATACATTGAAAGGTAAAATAAAAACAAGTTTTGCTTGATTTGGAAACATTTAGGTTAGCCTTTGTTTTTAGCAGTACAAGGGCTTGAACTCAAGGCCTTATACATACTTGCTAGACAGGCATTCTACCACTGACGCATGCCTCCACACTTGCTTTTTGCAAGGTTATTGTTTGAAATAAGGTCTTGCTTCTTGCTTGTGTGTGCCAGGACCATGTTTGTTTTTTTCTTATGCCAGTCTTGGAGGTTGAACTGAAGAGCCCAGACACTGCCCCTGAGCTTTTGTGCTCAGACCTAGTGCTCTGCCACTTGAGTTCTCCATGTCCTGCTTTTTGGTGTTTAATTGGAGAGAATAGTCTCCTGGACTTTCCTGCACAGTTGGCTTTGAACCATGTTTCTCAGATCTCAGCCTCGGAGTAGCTAGGATTGCAGGTGTAAACCACTGGTGCCTGGATGTTATCTGTCTGTTTTAAGCTTCTGTCCCACTTCTGCCTCCCTCTTGAGTGAACATAGTCATAGATTTCCTTTCTTGAGGGAGTCTTGCATATTTACCTGCTTTTGTTGGTCTGGTACTACAAGCCTCCCAATTTTAGCCTCCCGTGGGTTTTAGGATAACAGGCACTTGCCACTGTACATGGCTATGAGTTGAGAAGAGGGACTCTTGCAAACTTTTCTGCCTTGGGCTGGCTTCAAACCATACTCCTCCTAGTCTTAGCCTCCCAAGTAGCTAGAATTATAGGTGACTGCCCAGCTTTCAATGTGTCTTTCTTTTTTTCTAATAGCAATTCAGAAAAATGTGTTCAAATAAATGATTTATTTTATATAAAAATTAGGCCAAACTATAACTCCTGCATATAAACCAAATGGCCTTCAACTGAGGACAAGTTGCCTACCCCCTTTCCCTCCTGTAAGACACTTAGCAATGTTTGAAGACATTTTCAGTTGTTACAGCTGAGGGTTGCTATTGACATCTATTAGATAATAGGCCAAGCATGCTGTGAAACATCCTATAATATATCAGACAGCCACTCCCCCATGACAAAAAAAATTGTTCAAGCCAATGTACCAATAGCATTGAGATTGAGAAATCCTGATATACACAAATATTTGCAAAAATTTTTATACAAAATGAATATACAAGAAAATGTGAAAGAATTAGCATATGATTAAAAAGTACAGTTAGTACCAGACACGGTTGGCTCACACTTGTAAGCCTATCTACTCAGGAGGCTGAGATCTAAAGATCATGGTTTGAAGCTAGCCTGGGTAGGAACTCCATGAGACTCTTATCTCCAATCACAAAGCTGAAAGTCCAGCTGTGGCTCAAGAAGTAGAGTGCTGGCTTTTTTTTTTTTTTTGGTCCAGACATGGGGCCTGAACTCTGGGCCTGAGCGCTGTCCCTCAGCTCTTCAGCTCAAGGCTAGCACTCTACCACTTGAGTCACAGTACCACCTCTGGCTTTTTTTTGCTTATGTGGTGCTGAGGAATCGAACCCAGGGCCTCAGGCATGCAAGGCAAGCGCTCTACCACTGAGCCAACTTCCCAGCCCCGAGTGCTGGCTTTTGAGTATAAAAGCTCAGGGAAGCCGGGCACTAATGGCTCATGCCTGTAATCCTAGCTACTCAGGAGGCTGAGATCTGAGGATTGAGGTTCAAACCAGCCCGGACAGAAAAAGCCGTGAGACTCTTATCTCCAATAAACTACCAGAAAACTGGAAGTGGCGCTGTGGCTCAAATGGTAGAGCGGTAGCCTTGAGCTGAAGAGCTAGGGACAGAGCTCAGGCCCAGAGTTCAAGCCCTACATCTGACCAAAAAAAAAAAAATTGCTCAGGGATAGTGCCCTGGCCTTGAGTTCAAGTTCCAGGACCAGCACACATACACATATCCCGCCCTCCTACAAGTACAGTTAAAAATGTCAGATACGTGTTTATTCATTGTTATAAAGTATATCACATCTTTGGTATTTTTATAGAAATGTTTATCTCAAAATGTTAACCATAGGAGTTTTCTGACTTTATTTGGCCTGAAATAAATCACCTAGAAATAATGAGGAAAGATAAATCATCTGCTGGCTTGATTCTACATTTTCTGCTTGTTTTTTACTTGGTCTTTATGTCTGCAAATATTATAAGCTGACAAGCCTTATGTTTGTCACTGATGAGTAATGTTTTTCTTTTATAGTGGGTCAGATACTGGCATCAGGAAGGAAAGCTTTTGCTAATGTGTATATACACATTTCAAATTGTTTTAGAACATGCCTGTCATGTTACTTCAGCCAAGTAGTCCAATTAATGGAAATTTTCAAATTTGTAATGTTTTATGAAGTGCTGTTGGGATTTACTTCAAATGATGAGAGATCATTTCATAAGTGATAAAAGAAATATTGAGTTTTACAAAATGAGTTTGTGTGTGTGTGTGTGTGTGTGTGTGTGTGAGTATGATAGAGGAGTTTGAACTCAGGACCTTATACTGTCACTTTCACTTGCACTGTCATTGGCCTTTTTGCTTAAGACTGGTGCTCTCCCAGTGTTTTTACTGGTTAATTAAAATTGGAGTCTTACAGACTTTTTTTCCCCAAGTCTGGCTTGGGACTGTGATCATCAAGTCTCAGCTTCCTGAGTAGGTAGGATTGCACATATGAGCCACCAGTGCCTGGCTCATGTTTAATTCATTTTTAAACACTGAAAGGCCTATTATAAGTTTTCATAGAAGCTTCTAGAAAATATTTTGTCAAAAAACCCGCCCCGCCCTCAATGAACGCATGCAGTGGCAAAAAAAAAAAGAAAGAAAAAAAAAGAAAATATTTTGTCAATTTGTTTTAAAATAACATTAAATAAGTTGGGATCATGTGACCATGAAGATATTGCTAGAGAATTAAGTAATATAGTTGTAGTTTGTGCATTGCACAACTAAACCCATGATTATTATGTTCTAACCTTGTGCTAGCTCTACAGACATAGAGTAAAGAGTCAGATGGGTTTGATAGTAATCAGATTATTCTGATATGGACTATATTCCTTGGTCATAGTCACCTCAATAACTACCACAATATCTAATATTCAGTAAATATCATGTCAGTGCATTGGTAAATGAAGACAGAGAATCATTCAGACTGGAATCATATAATATGATTAACTACCTTGTCCAACTTAAAAAGTTTCTCAGTATTCCTCATAGAGAGGAACAGTCATGTTACTTCCTTCACTTTAATTTTTTAAATCCTGTACAGTTACAATGAATGTGAAAGACTGTGGTTACTGACAATGGTAATTATAGAAAGTCCATTTTCTGGTGATTATAAGTATCTTTTTAAAAAAATAAACACCTCAAATGTCAATCATTTTAGAGACTAGGGACTACTTGAAGACATTACCTTTTTTTTTCAGGACAGGCAATGATCTTGGTGTGTACTTTGGGACTATAGTCAAGTCTTCTAATTCATCTAGTTTTTTAGAGAGTTCATTTGAAGAGCAAGTTTTAAAAGTAATCTCTAATATGTTTTATATTCATTTTTCTCTGTAAGAAGTAGGGAGAGTGGAAATGTGAAATTCTAAATGTTAAAGATTTTAGAATTCTGTTACTATTTCTATCAGTTGTTATTTGAGGGACTGTGGACTTAAACACTTCCTGTTGTGTCATAGAACTATGAACATAGACCTTTTGATAATGAAGACAATATAGAGAACATATGCTCCTTAAAAATGACAAAACAGCTGGGCACTGGTGGCTCATGCCTATAATCCCAACTGCTTAGGAGGCAGAGATCTGAGGATCGCAGTTCAAAGCCAGCCCAGGCAAGAAAAGTCTATGAGACTCTTATCGCTAAGAAACCACTCAGAAAACCTGAAGTGGCACTATGGCTCAAATGGTAGAGTGCTAGCCTTGAGCTGAAGAGGTGAGGGACAGGGCCCAGGCCCTGAGTTCAAGCCCCACAACTGACAAAAAAAAAAAAAAAAAGACAAAACAACATATGATTATCTTCTGTTGGCAAACAGAACATGGTCCTAGGTGCTAGAGGTATAAAAAGACAATCCTGGCTCTTAAGACATTTACAATCTTATTGGCTAAAAAAAGAAAAAGGGAAAACTTAAATCATGAATAAAGAACAATGATGAAGTTCATGTAAATCTTACCCTAACTTACTTTCTACAATCAGATATATTGACCTATAAAATATATATAAAAAGCTGCTCGATTCAAAAGAAAAAATAAAGGAGTCCCAAATGCAACGGTACCAAGTTAAAGATTTTTTTTATTTTTAAGCAAAAGCCAAACTTTAAAGCAGAGAAACTGTTTTCCAGGAAAACCATTTTGTGGTAATAAGACATAGCAAAATGTCATTAAGTGAAACGTGGAGAAAACTTTTCTCAGGTATTCCTAGATTATATTTGTTGTATACATTACTGCACTTGCTAATATGCTATGTATCTGGCATAAATATTTTAAGAATGACAGGTAAGGAGGTCTGCTGGAAATTAAAGTTGTAGAAGTCAAGAAATATCTGAAATCTCCAGAAGAGACCCTCTTAAGAAGATGGCAAATCTTCATCCTTTTTTTTTTTTTTCTGTTTGTCTTTATTCTTTTTTTTATTGTGAAAATACTGTACAGAGGGGTTACAATTACATGGGCAAGATGATGAGTACATTTCTTACCAAGTATTGTAGCCTCCTCCTTTGTTTCCCCTTCCCATCCCATCCTTCCCCCAACCCCCCAAATCTTCATCCTTAAAATAGTCTTAACAATGTATCCGAGGAAATTTGAATGGCCCTATGATAAATAACAGTTTACTCTACAGCACTGTTTTACTCCCTGTTTAGGCTGGAACCTTTTCAGATCTAAAAGCAAGTGTAATCTCCTTTGGTGGTTACTCTGAGTTTTTCCTGGGGCATAGTGAGCATGCTGACTATGTCCCTTAGACAGGAACCTTAGCCTTTTTGAACCTAAGTTGTTAAGTAAGTTGGGAGTAATAATAGCTGATACTTATTGAATACTTTTAATTTTAATTTAATTTTTTTTCTTTGCCAGTTCTAGGGCAGTTTTTGGGCATTGTCCCTGAGCTTCTTTTTTTTGCTCAAGGCTAGCACTCTACCACTTGAGCCATAGCGCCACTTCTGGCTTTTTTTTTTTTTTTCTGTTTCTGTTTATCTAGGGCTTCATGCATACTAGGCAAACACTCTACTACTAAGCCACATTCCCAGCCCTGTACCAAGTATTTTACAGGTTTATTTTGTCTTTATAATAGCTGTATGAATTAGATAATAACACTGTCCTCATTTTATAGTTGTGGGATAACAAGTAATTTGTTCAGGGTTTACAGAGCAAGTAAGTGGCTGAATTAGAATTCAGACCCAGTAAATGCGCTTTGTAGCTTGCATTCGTGGAGTTCATTTGTGCACTTTCCATGGAATGATATTAGTTTCCACATCCTCGTAGCACAAAATAGTATAATACAGTGTGCAGTCAGTACTGAGTATATGGCACATAACAGACACTTAGGAAATATTAGATATTATAATTATTATTCACGTTCCTTTTCCCTTCAGATGTGCAAAGAATACTCATACAAGATTTTTTTTAAGACAGAGTCTTAAAAGCTGTGTAGCTAGCTCACACCTATAATCCTAGCTACTCAGGAGGCCAACATCTGAGGACTGCAGTTAGAAGCCAGCCTGGACAGAAAAGTCCCTTTGTGACTCTTATCTCCAATAAACCTCTCAAAAACCCTAAGTGGCGCTGTGGCTCAAGTGGTAGAGTGCTAGCCTTGAGCACAGGAGGCTCAAGGACAGCACTCAATCCCTGAGTTCAAGCCCCACAACTGCCAACCCCCCCCAAATATGTAGCTTAACCTAACCTTGGACTCTTAGTCTGAAATTTTTGAGTGCAGTTTAGTTCTGTATAACATGCTTAGTTGTTGACTTTTCTAGTTGCTTTGGATTTTGTTCTAGTTTATTCTGACAATTTTGATCTACAACATTTTTTTGGTGTGTGTGTGTGTGTGTGTGTGTGTGTGTGTGTGTGTGTGTGTGTGTGCGTGCAAATTCTGGGGCTTAAACTCAGGCTCCAGGCTCCTTTCTTGAGCTCTTTTAGCTGTACTGCTTGAGCCACAACTCCACTTCTGGCTTTTTGGTAGTTTATTGGAGATAAGAGTCTTTCAGACTTTCCTGCCAGTACTGACTTCAAATCACAATTTTTATATTTCAGCCTCTTATGATCTACAACCTTTAAAAGCACCAACAGTGACATTTCTTTATGAGCCTTTGATTTCTGAATTTTTCCTTTGGGCTTTCCCAATCTCTGGCATAGCTGCTATAATCTTCTCCCCAATTTATTCATCATGTGGTAACTTTAAGTATGGGGATTTGGTCCATTTTAAAATGTTTCCCCATGCACTTTAAGACATCATCACTGAAGAGATGACGACTGCTGTGGAAGACCCAGAAGCCACCTTACCATTGGTGTCACAAGAACAGACGGCCATCCTCGAGGTTACCGGGGACCGTGGTGAGATTGAGGAAGGCAAGGGGTCCCTGTCACCTGCTCCTGATGCTGCTTTTGCCACTCAGTGGTCCAGAGGATGGGAGCTGCTGGCCACTACCGCTTCCACCACAGTTGTCCCTTTGTCTCACGAAGTCACCTCTTCTGCAGAAGGTCTGTAAGGGAGGGACTGGGGCTCAGTGTGTTGGGGGTGGATCTATTCTGTAAGGAACAGAAGTGAGGCTGTGTTGTATTATGGACAGGCTTTTGAGGACTTACTTCTTTTACTTCATATTCTGCCACCATATAGTCTGTTGTCCTTTGGCTACTGTGTAACATTCCATTATAAAAATGCAGCATATTTATTCACCCATCGGTCCACTCTCCTGGTGATTGGATTTGGGTCATTTCTAGGTTTTGCTACTGTAACTATTGTTACCACTAAACTTTGTGCATGTTTCTTTTCTGTTTTTGGTTCTGGTACTCAGGGCTTTGCACTCTCGCTTGGCTTTCTTGCTCAAGGATGGCACTCTGTCCCTTAAACCACACCTCTACTTCTGTGTGGAGGATTTCCTTCCCAGAATAACCTAGGTGTGGAGTCGCTGGCCATAGAGGTGTATGACTATTTGACTTTAAGAGCCAATGCCTGCTTTCCTAAATGGTTGCCCCAACTTATATTCTCACCAGACCCTGTTCCATGTTCTGGGAGCTTTTAAAAAATTATTTCTCAGGCCAGGGAGATCCCAAGTTAGAAAGTTGGAATGTGTGAAAAGCTAAAAATCTACATTTGAAAAATCACCTTAAAAGATTTTTGATCAGCCAGGTTTTCTTTTCTTTCTTGGTGGTAGGAGTTTGAACTCAGGGCCTGTGCTTCCTAGATCAGCTATGTTTTCAAGCTACTACTACTACTATCAATAGACTTGGGAATGCCTGGAGCTATATTTGGAAGCCATGAAAGGAGCCTGTTTGCCACACATATCCATACTCTACTGGCACTTTGCCATGGTTCTTACAAAGTAGAATTTGGCATATATTTAAAAATTTCCTGCCTTTAACTTCTTAATGTGACTACAATAGTCTTCTTGCAACATCTGTAATATTGTCAATAAAATAAATGGGAGCTTAACATTTAAAAATAAAGTTTTGATTTAGGTAATATATTCTCCTGGGTAATAAAGTATGGATAGCTGTGGGTAGCTAAGCTGTTAAGATGTGGAAAAGAAGAGCTAGTGTAAATGTTAACTTAGTGTAAATGAGGTATTCATTTTGTTAGTCCTGTTTTTTTGCTTAAAATGAGAATGTACATGTTTATGTTTTCCATAATGAATAATTTGTAGACCAAGTTTTATCTTTTGTGTTTGGCAGATCTAATGGATACCATCACAGGGCCAAATGAGTTTATACCAGTTTTGAGCTCTCCAGTGACACCCACTGGAATAATGGAGGAGGTGCCCAGCATTTCCCCAACGCTTCCTGTTTCTGAGCTACCATTTGAGAGAACAGTTCCATCTATTAGCCATGCTAATACTGCTGCCTCCTATGGCCTGGACCAGCTGGAATCAGAAGGTATCCATTCTTGGAAGAGGGTCTTTTCTGGGACTGATTGAGTGTGTCACTGAGCAAATACTTTTGAGAAATGATTAAGTAGATCTGTTCAAATCATACGTCAGATTGCGGCTAACTAAATCTAGCCAGCCACCTCTTTTTATATGGCCTGTAAGTTAGGAATTGTGTGTGTATGAGTGTGTGTCTGTGTATATATATGTGTGTGTGCGCATGCGCATGCATGTGTTTGCATGCTTGTTCTGCTACTGAGATTTGAACTCTGGGCTTCATACTCCTGCTTAGCTTTTACTGCTCCAGGCTGACACTTTACCACTTGAGCCATAGCTCTACTTTTGGCTTTTGTTGATTAATTAGAATTAAGAGTTGCATAAACTTTTCTGCTTGGGCTGGCTTTAAATCACGATCTTCAGATTTCAGCCTCCAGAGTAGCTAGGATTACAAGTGTAAGCCATTGACACTTGCTCTAAGCTTGGTTTTTACATTTTAAAATCATTGAAAAAAAAACACAAATGTATGTTGTCACATATAAAAATTGTATAAAATTTAAATTTCAAAATTCATGAAGAAGCTTTATTGGAACAGAGCCATACTTGTTCATTTGCATATTGCCTATAGCTAATTTTGTGCCAAAGCAAGTAGAATTGTAAAGCTTTGATAAAGACTAAGTGGCCCAGATACCACATTTATAATATGGTTCTTTATGTAGAACAAGTTTGTTGACCTTAGTGTCTATGGACAATCTTCAGTTACAATTGAACATTACAATTATTTGGAGAGCTTTTAATGAATCCCAGTGATTTAGATTAAGTTGGTAGGGGGTGAGATTTTTGGCATCAACACTAAAAAAAGAGTGCCCTAGATAATTTCAATATTCAAGTTGGGTTGAGAATACTAGGTTTAAATGTAGAAGTTGAAATTTTCTTACCAGGTTCCTTTTTTTTTTTTGCCTGGAAGTTTTAATGGGTATTGATTTTAATAACACAGCTCTGTTTATTCATACTGGGTTATTCTCTCTTGGTAACATCTCTGGGTTAATATGCTCCACTATTTGGAGATAGGCAGCCTTTTGATTATTAAAGCTGAGAATTTCATGCCATATTGCACTTTTCAAGACTCTGGGATTGCTTGTGAAAAGGAGTCTTGAGGCACAGCTGTCTTTATCTATATCTATCTATCTATCATAATCTTGTAATTACTATAGTGAATGTTTTGATAGATGAACAGTACCTCATGGAGGTACAAAATGTCAAGATATGTGAGGTGCCAACACACTCACCTGGAGCACGGGTAAGCTTTTGGGCACCCCATTAGTAATTTTGATGTTTGGTGCTTTCAGGAGACAAGGTGTGCTGTTATTTTATGCTGTATCTTCTCAACTACAAGAAAGGAGGTTCAGCTAGTTTGTAGGGGACTATTGGAAGCCTTCAGGGTGGCACTGGTAATCTGTATGTGGAAAAATATGACATGTAAAGAGCCTAGAGAATTCCATAGCAGAATGCTAATTCAAGAAATGGACCAAAGCAGGCCTCAAGGCTAACACCTCTGTGCTCTGCATGAAGACAGATGCTACGTGAATTTGAGTTCCGTCTCTGCCTGCTCTCCTTGATGCCATCTGGAAAGAGCAGGTTTTCTGAAATTAACCTGAGTTAGAGATGACAGCTTGGCTTGGCAGCACTTTTAAATCAAGGAAAAAATTAGATTTGTGAGTAATCTATACTTGTGAAACTGCAGTGACTTTCTAAATTTAGTAAGTGATGGAAGTTGTATTAAAATATGTTAGAATTTTCTGATGTGCCTAAGAGTTCCTGGTGTGCGAGTTCTTTTCTTCTACATAATTCCATTTCAGCCTCTTTTTGAGTATATATTTTGTCAGTTTTTTAATCTAAATTATGATCCTTGTCAAGGTTTCTGAAAGACATTTTTTGCTTAAAATATATTCTTTTTGCTACATTGTTGGGCTTAAGATTTTGAATGAGCACATCATTTCTCCTAGCTCTGAAGATACACTAATTAGGTTTAAATAGTAAATGTTAATAATATCACCATCTTATGCTGGTATAACTAAAGCTTAAAAAGCTGACCAGACCATGTTAATTTAAACAGGTGAAACTACTAAATTCCTTGATATGTTCAGGGCCTCTATTTTTAATATCTATTTTTCTACCTTGCCAGGAATATAAGTGTAGCTTGAGGCAAAGCATTTTAATTTTAACATAGGATTTCAGCCACAGGAAGAGCATTGTTCTTCTCTAGAACATGTATTAGTTATGTCAAATTATCTTTGGCTGCCTTTCAAATAGTAATCTCTGTTGTATGTGGCAAATAACATACAATTCTCCACCTGAATATATGCAGTGGTAAAGTTGGACATGGTGCATGCCTGTGATTCCAGCACTTGGAGGATTGTGTTTGAGGCCTACTGGAGATGCAGAGCAAGATTCTGTCTTGAAACAAAGAGATATGTTTGTTTAATGATGTTATTATTGTCTTTATATGTTATTTTAAGATCTTTCCTCTCCCCTAGGAATCAGGAGTATTTCTCTAAAGAATGAGATATATTGCCTTGAGCTGAAGAGCTGAGGGACAGTGCCCAGGCACAGAGTTCAAGCCCCACGACCGACAAAAAAAAAAAAAAAAGAATGAGATATATTTCTCAGTGGGATTTGGAAAGAGACATGCTTTTATTAGATACTAGACACTAAGGGCAGAGCATTTTAAGGAACTTTCTGAATCCATTGTCCAATTTATCCTCTACGAGATAAATAACATCCCAAACCAACAACATTTACCTCCTTTCCCTTTAGTCATCAAGATGACTTAGAGTGTCATTAGTTTCTCAAGCCATAGCAAAGTACCACAGCTGGGTAGCTTAAAATAATAGAAACTTGTTGGGCGCTGGTGGCTCACGCCTGTAATGCTAGCTACTCAGGAGGCTGAGATCTGAGGATCGTGATTCAAAGGCAACCTAGGCAGGAGAGACCGTGAGAATCTTAACTCCAATTAACTACTAGAAAACTGAATGTGGTGCTGTAATTCAAAGTGGTAGAGTGCTAGCCTTGAGAACAAAAGCTCAGGGACAGCACCCAGGCCCTGAGTTCACGCCCTACGATGGACAAAAACAATACAAAACAAAAAAACCCAGAAACTTATTCTTGTGCACGTCTGGAGCCTAGATGCCAAAGTTAAAGTACAGGTGGGGCTATCCTTGTCCAGCCTCTAAGATAGGAACCCCTTTGCCTTTCCAGCTTCTTCTTTTTTTCTTTTTGATTTTAATGTTCTATTTATTTATTTATTTTATTTTATTTTATTTGTGAACATACTGTACAGAGGGGTTACAATTACATGGGCAGGATAATGCGTACATTTCTTACCAGGCATTGCAGCCTCCTCCTTTTGTTTACCCTTCACATCCCTTCCCAGCCTCCCCCCTCCCCCC